CGTTGGTCGCTGGATTGGGCTCGCTGGGAGGATCTGGGACGTCAGGGCAGTTATTTTCTCCTCTAGTGCTGAAATTTTCCCATTAGCTTTTTCCTCTGCGGCTGACAGTAGCTTCTCAAACATATTTTCAATGCCAATCATGTATTTTGTCACCGGAGTCTTCATACAATCACTGCAAAACCAAAAACAGTCTTGTTGTGCTAGCATGTGTTTCATCTTTTTCATCGATAGTTTGGCGCATGCAGCGTGAAAAGTCTTCTGGCAGTATGTGCATGGCATTCCCGTTTTGACCTCTTTTTCGCAGCCCGTTAAGCCGCATATACCCAAACCTTGCGTCATTAATTGCGTTGACAAACTTCGGCGACCAATTATCAGTACGCTGTGGACGGCGAGATGGGAGATTGTTGACAAATGTCGTAAAGGAAAACACTTTAAAGACGGATGGTGTATTGTTTTTCTGCATCAATGTCTTTTTTATGATTTCTTCGTGCAAGACTTATGTTTTGACAGTCGGAAACCAGTTTGGTGCGATGAGCGTTATAACCACTTGTGATATGTTTGTCTGTTCGGATTTCTGTACCCTGCAGCTGAAGAATAAACGTACTCGGTACTGAAAGAAGTGACTGTTTTTAGAATGTAGTAAACTATGTGTATACTCAATCGTAAGTGAATATTATTTCTCCGCATTCCAGGTTGTTAATGATACCACAGAACGGTTATGTCTCTACTCTCGTGTGGCTCCCGACTCGAAGGACAATCGACCGGCACTGCTGACATGTTTAGAGCCGGGAGAAATATATTCTGTTCCTGTTCAGGTGGTAAATTCCATGAAATATACGGGAATTCATATCGGACCAGATGGGGAGAGGTGAGCGATACTATCGTTTGATGGCTCGACACTACTGGTTGGTATGAAACCACAGCTTATGCATGAATATATTCACTGATGTTTGTTACGGTCTCATTCCCCCCCCTGCTGTATAGTCTTTAATATCTATTAATTTCATGACGGAGCCTGTCTAAAACCTGTTACCATACCATGGGATCTAGTTGGTAATATCTCAAGTTTGAGTGCCACTAGGCAGATGATATTGTACTACATTCGGCCAAGTAATCGGCCCACTGAGATGACAGTAAATAACAGGTCATTCATTGTCCACAGGCGCAAGACTAGCTTACGAGTGCACGAGGGCTGAATGTTGTGGGAACCGTGAGAATAAATTCTAACGGCCTTTAAGTAGATTTAGAAGAAAAATCGACAGATTACCGCATTAGTCTGAACTACAAAAACTATTTGTTAACTCAGACTAAAAAAGTGAAGCAGTTGTTCGCAAACACCTGGACCCGTTAGCTTACTGTGCATACGTCTGTTTCCATCATCATATGAGTTCGAACTCTGACCAAGCTAAATCGATTTGCCATCCGTCTCAATAATATCTCCTGGATGATGAAATGAACTACCCGTTAATCAAAATATAGATCCTGCATTGCTTAGAATATACTAATATCACCCAAGCATGTCTAATGATACGCTATCTGATTAGTACATTTTCAGCTTTTTACTGTTTCCATGATGGGGGATCGAAATCGCATCATTGGATAGCAATGCGTTGATATTCGTTGAGATTATGGATACCCTCAGGTTAGGCAGAACCGAATGCTACCAGGTGCGTCCTTTGGTTGTGGATAGGGGAATTCCATCGCGGAAGAAGGTTAGCTGTGAATAAATTGTGGCATACCGCAACTAATGAACAGCGGCGGCGCCACCAGGGTGTGGTGGGTTTCAGGCTGGTCACTTGACTCCTGTTTAAATGCCGCATAAGCCCAATCACGGTGTCGTGACAAAGGTCGGTGTGACTGACCTTTTAAAACGAAACTCATTGACCCCCCCNCCCCCCCCCCCCCACTTCCGAGGCGAGAGATTACTTCCTGCTGCCTTGCTGTTAGTACTTGGTTGTGCAAAGGCTACAGGTGCGCCCTCAAAATAAAAAACACCGAGTGACTCCGGGGACGTCTCTGGTACCAAACATCCAAGTAACTTCATAATCATGATTATGTCTGGAGTCGGCCCATCCTTTCCAAGGAGCCAGTAGAAGTAAAGTAAACTAAATGAGTATTCGTCAGATTGGTGTTACGTTCCAATCTGACCACCACCAATACCGTAAATAATTCCTCCTCGGATGGACACAGTCGAACACACATGATCACTAAACGCCTAATCGGTAATCGCGGTGCCATCCCGCCACAGTTTTTTAAATCATCCAAAGTGAGAGCCATCTGCACGTAATCTACATGAAGATCCTAGTCGTAGTCTAGAGACAAGAGGATCAAAGCAGTTGAATTCTACGATAATAGTAGTATTTTAAGGTACAGAAACCTACCCAAACCGTTTAATCGTATGCCCATTGCGCGTTTCATGACTTATCCCAGTTCTCAGTGTTACTGTTTAATATCACTTATGTGTCGCAAATTTTCTCATTCTTTTATCAGCTCGGCAATGTCTCCTAGTCCCGTCTATTGGCCAGAAACTGCTTGTGCCAAA